CTGTTGTAAGCTTTTAGTTAAGAGGAGTGCGCGCGCAGGTAAGGCAGGTCACATGTTGGCCCTCCCTTTTCTCCGTGTATCTCTTGGAATTTTCAAGCTTCGGGGTCATACATGGGGGAGATGTCTCAGGCGAAATGCCTTGCCCGCTCTACCATCACTTCTGGTGGTCAGACTGAGAGGGGTTGCCTGTAAGGAAGAGGGATGGACGAGGAGGAGGAGGAGAGGGTGGACCAGTGCCAACCCAGGACGCATCAATGATGCTGCGATCAACTCTCCCTCCAAGTTGTCTCTTCGCAAGTCCCTGCAAGATTTGTTCCATGGCGGGAATGTCCCTCTTCGAAGACAAGCGTCTGAGCGTTCTCAGCCGTCCCAGAACACCATTCCTGGGACGTCAACCCCGCGGATGCACGGGGCAGTTGCGTCCTGACTTTCCCCAACCGTGCCAGAACACCATTCCTGGGACTTCAGCCCCGCGAGTCGACGTGACAGCTGCGTCCTGACAATTCTAAACCGTGCTAGAACATCACTCCTTGGGGTTTCAGCCATATGACTCATTGAATCTTTGAAGGATTTTCGACGAATGCGCGCGGCGCATCGGCGAGATCCACATTTTGAAAATCGGCGGCGAGCCCAGGGGGAAGTGAGAAGGGGCGGGCCTCCTCAGTAGGCTCGGGAGTCCCCCGGCCTTCGGAGAAGGGTTCGAGGCCTTCCCCGAGGACACGAAACACTTCCCAGAAGGCGCGAGGGCTTCCGAGAAGTCCCGCCGCCTTCTCAGACGCCTTCTCGGTGTCCCCCCTCGCTCGCCGCCGAGAACAGGAGCCGCCCTCCGTGCGTTTTTTTTTTTTTCCGGCGAGAGTGCGCGGCGTTGAGGCGAAATCCACACTGCGAGACGGCGCCGCCCCACATCCCTGACGCTGCTTCGCAGCCTGTTCGCATGACGGTGCGCGGTGCTGAGGCGGTAGCCACGTTTTGTGAAAGAGCCACTCTCCATTGTAGTTGTCAGGCCCCTGCCAGCCTCTCCTCCTCCTGCGCCGCTCTCTGTACTCCCTTGTGCGCCGCCATACTGGCTCACAGGGGCCATTGAGCTATCATGGCGCTCCGGTGACGGACGCGCCCACGCCTCCGTAAAAGGAAAGAGCATGTGTTCTCTTCTAGCCACATTTTGAGAAAGAGCCGCTCTCCATGTTTGACACGGCTGGGCACTTGTAACGGCGAATGCGCGCGGCGCCTAGGCGAACTACGCATTCTGAAAACTGCCCGCAATGCATCCCTGAAGCTGCTGCAAGCCTGTCAGACGAATGTGCGCGGCGCCAAGGCTAGATCCACACTTTGAGAACGGCCCGCCCTACATTCTTGAAGCGGTTGAGAGCCACATTTTCAAAACGACCCGCCTTCCATCGGTGAAACTGTTTCAACTACCAAGCCCCATAATCATTAGAGGCGAAGAAGTCTCGGGCGAATCGCCTGACCTGCTCTACCACGTCTGTTGGTGCGGCAGGGATGATTCATCTTTAGGGAACAGGGATGGTAGAGGAGGAACAGGAACAGGAAGAGAAGGTGGAGGACGAGGAGGAGGACAAACACATATGACACATTATTAGCTTGATCACTCAAGGCCAGGCGCCTAGGCCAGATCGAAACCGGGCTCTTGACAAAACTCGGGACCCCAGACAACCCATTGCGAACTCACGGGCCCGACCGAGGTCCAAAGCGATGCATGAACCCGCCTCGGCTTTACGAGTCTGGAGACGAGCCAGAACGGCGTCCATCCCAGGATAACTGGAGAAGATGGCGGAGAATTGTGACACGAGGCCCCTCCTCCCCCGGGCCCGTCCGCCCCCCAGTGACCCTTTTCAGCAAGCGCATGCCATCCTCCCAGGGCAAGACCGCTCTTTCATGGCGCCTGCGGTGCTGTGGGTGCCAGCCTGCCTGGAGCCTCCGAAGCTTCTGGGCCCTCAAGAAGGTGATGATACGCTCGCACCCCTTGGCGAGCGAAGGGCCAGTGTGCTGCGCAGCAGGGGCTCCTCAATGCACACAACACGGCGGCAGTGCGCCATCCGAGCAGCCCGCGAACTGTGTCTTTGCTCGCTCTCGTTGCCACGTAGCTGGAGGAAGAGGAGGATGAGGATGAGGAGGATGAGAAGGATGAGGATATTAATGATGAGGATGAGGATGAGGATGACGATGCTGATGATGCTGCTGCTGATGATGATGCTCATGATTGTGAGGATGATAATGCTGAAGACGAATAAGGTGCTGATGCTGATGATTTTGATGGTTTTGATGAAGAAGATGATGATGTTGACAAGTATGATGATGACGACGCTGATGACGATGATGATGAATTTGCTGCTGATGGTTATGCTGATGCCGATGCTGATGCTTGTGCCGATGCTGGTGACGATGGTAATGATGATGTTGATGCTGCTGATGATGATGGTGATGATGCAGATGACGATGATTATGCTGATGGATATGCTGCTGAATATGATGATGCTGATGATACTGATGATCATGCTGATGATGACGGAGCTGATTCTGCTGATGATGATTATAGTGATGCTGACGACGATGCTGATTATGATGATGATAATGTTGATGTTGTTGATGATGATGATGATGCTGATGTTGATGATGATTCTGATTATGATGATGATGACACTGATGCTGATGATGATGCTGATGATGATGATGATGGTGCTGCTGATGATGCAGACGATGTTGATGTTTCTGAAGAGTATAATGCTGATGCTGATGTAGATGATGATGATGATGATGATGATGATGATGATGATGATGATGATGATGATGATGATGATGATGATGATGATGATGGTGGTGGTGGTGATGATGATGATGGTGGTGGTGATGCTGATGATGATGATAATGATGATGCTGCTGCTGATGATGATGTCGATGATGACGATGATGATGATGATGCTGATGATGATGATGATGATGATGATGATGATGATGATGATGAGGAGGAGGAGGAGGAGGAGGAGGAGGAGGTGTGGGGCACTGCATTAAAGGCAAGTCTGAACCATCCTTCGACCCACGAAGGCACCGATCACACCTCATCTTGTACTCGCCTACATCAGACCACTTGTGCCACGACACTTCAAGGGTGCCATTCGGTACCTGATCATGCGCTGTCAGAAACCAATGCCGACGTCGTCACGACACGAAATTGCCGCAGAGCCTCCTCCCCCTGGTTCCCCGCACAAGACCCTCGGAGCCTTTCCTTTCATCCTCCTCCTCCTCCCCACCTGCTGGGGTACCAAGATGCACGACTGTATGTTAGATGCTTGTTTTGGGTACCTTCTTGGGTCTCACCTAGAGGATCTAGTTCGACTCTAGTTCGAATCCAGTTCGACTCTACTTCGACTCTAGCTCTTCTCAAGTTCGACTCAAGTTCGACGGACGTTTGACGCAGCATCGGCGCACGAGTGGAACGGGTGGCTCCAGGGAGGTCCTCAGAACGAGCATCCAATGCATGGGAACCACGGGCTTCTTTCTCGTCTGGCCTGAAAGCGCCCCGCCCCTCTCTCGGCGGCGAGCCCCGGGGGGAAGTGAGAGGAGGCAGGCATTCTCAGAAGGCGGCGGGGCTTCTCAGCAGCTCTCGGGCCCTCTGAAGAAGGCTCCGAAGACTTCTCGGGAGTGCCAGAGGCCTTCCGAGCCTTCTGGGAAGGCCCGCCCCCTCTGCGCTGCCCCCTGAGCTCGCCGCCGAGCCAGGGGCGCGCCGCATCGTGCCCAGGGCGCGCTTGGATGTGCTTGGCGCGGCAGGCTCGTGCCCTGTCAGGACGCTCGATGCAGAGCCGCCCCCTCCGGCGGCCCTGCTCTGGGGCCCACGCGGGCATCGGGGGCCCCCAGACAGTATCGGTGATCACGCCGCGTGGTGAGTCGGCGGGAGTTCGGGGTCACCGCACGGCTTGGGGACTCGGACCGTTCTCCGAGGACGTCTCGAGCGGCTGGGGCCTCCGAGGTCCCAGAACCGTGCGGTGAAGGACCGCGCGGTGGTGTTGGTGATGCCGAGGTCACCACGCGGTCCGTCACCGCACGGTTTCGGGGGCTCCCAAAGCAGCTCACGTCGCGGAGTCCATACGGCCGAGGCGCTGAAACAAGAGCCATCCTGGGCTCAGGAGGGGCTCTGGTTTTCGGGCCGTTCCTCAGGACTAGGTCGTGGGACCCGTTCGTGGCCGAGGCTCGCCGTGGCCAGAAAAGCCCCTCTGATGCTTTTGCAGCGTTCTTTCTGATAGCACGATGATTTTACGAAAGAAAACGAATATAAGGGGGAGGAGCAGGGCGAGCAGAAGGAAACGAAAGTTGACGGAAGTCGTTCCCACTCATTTTGAGGTGGACTTTGGGTGGACGGAGCGAGAGGAGGAGGGGGAGGAGGAGGAGGAGGAGGAGGAGGAGGAGTTGGCGGATGAGGATTGTTGGGCCGACTTGGCATATTGGGGGTACGTCGGAGGCTATCTTGAGCGATCGTCGGCTATCTGGTGCTATTTTGGAGACCATCTTAGGGCATCGGGGGCCATCTTGGAGCCATGTTTGGCCAACAAGGGCAGCCTGACACATCGCGGGGGCGGGGGCGCCCAACCCACAGGGGAAGGGGGAGGGGGGAAGGAAAACCGCAATCCCTCAAGGTTGGGAGATCCGCGCGGTGTCATAAACCAATGCGCCAGTCGTCACGACACGAACCCGTCGTACAGTAGGTGCGTCAACTAAGTAACTGTCCTGCAAGCAGGTGCCCCACAGAGATTTCTTATCCCCCGATGGCCCCAGGGTCCCAATGAAGCCCTGGGGCACCCTAGGACCCTTGAAGATCGACGAAGACTGCGCCCCAACATCTCTTGTAGCAAGATTTTCATCCTAGGTATCACCGTGTGGACACTTCCGGCCGGTGCACTTCCTCCCCCTTTTCCTCCTCCTCCTCCTCCTCCTCCTCGTCCACAAGCTCATCTGATGGGCCTCTCGTGCCGCCAGCTCCGCCGAAGGATACCGACTTCTCCAAGGTGGGCGTTCCCGACGAGATCGCGGGGGAGGTGCCCGCGGGTGCTGCCGCCCTGCGTGTGCTGTGGAGCCACCGGGCCCTGACGTTCTGCTGTTTTTTGTTGTTGTTTTGCGTCGTTGTTGTTGTTGTTGTTGTTGTTGTTGTTGTTGTTGTTGTTGTTGTTGTTGTTGTTGTTGTTGTTGTTGTTGTTGTTGTTGTTGTTGTTGTGTTGTTGTTGTTGTTGTTGTTGTTGTTGTTGTTGTTGTTGTTGTTGTTGTTGTTTGTTGTTGTTGTTGTTGTTGAACTCTCATTCTTGAAGAATAATTATTGTTGATCCCCCCCCACCGGTGCACATTGATTTTTTTCGATTGAAGTGCCACCCCCGGGGCTCGCACCTTGTTTTTTCTCAAGGAAAGTCTTCCTGCTCAAACTGTGCCCCTGCCCCCCGGGCTACAACAACAACGGCTCCCGCCTGAGACTTCCTCGATTTTTACTCAGGACCCCCGCTCCCGCCTGAGACTTCCGCGCAATTTACTCAGGAAAGGCGCTCCCGTCTGAGACTTCCTCGCAATGTAATCAAGACCCCCGCTCCCGCCTGAGACTTCCGTGCAATTTACGTGGGAACGGCGCTCCCGCCTGAGACTTCTTCGAATTTTACTCAGGACCCCCGCTCCTGCCTGACATTTCCGCGCAATTGACTCAGGAACGGCGCTCCCGCCTGAGACTTCCTCGCAATTTAGTGAGGACCCCCGCTCCCGCCTGAGACTTCCGTGCAATTTGCTCAGGAACGGCGCTCCCGCTTGAGACTTCCTCGCAACTTAGTCAGGGCCCCCGCTCCCGCCCGAGATTTCCTCACAATGTACTCAGGACTGCGCTCTCGCGTGCGACGTCCTCACAAATTATTCTGGAATTGCGTTTCGGCGCTCAGGAACCACGCACGCGCCAAGGACGCCTTCACAACGTGGTATCTTCCCTCTTCCTTCGTCCTTCCCCCTCCCCTTCCTCCCACTCTCCCTCGTTCTTCCCCTCCTCCTCTTGCAGGGCCCGCGCCAATTCCAATGGCGGGCAGAGAGATGTACGCCCCCGAAGGATTGTCCGCCCGTTCCGGTTTGCCCGTACGTCTAAGCCCGCCGGCCCCAGCAAAGAGAAATAATCCCCCCGAAAGGGGTGTGATCGAAGACGAAGAGGGCGGGTTTCGAGGGTGTAGGGTATACGTGTTGAATGACTCGCGGACAAGTAAGAGCGTACAGCCTTAAAATGGTTGTTGTTGTTGTTGTTGTTGTTGTTGTTGGGAAGGCCGGAAACCTAGCGCCCTGGGGGGCAGGGCAGCAGTAACCGGGCCTTACCTTGTTGAGTTCTCATTTCTGAAGAATGATTATTGTTGATCCCCCCCCACCGATGCAGATTGTTTTTTCTCAATCAAAGTGTGCCCCTCGACGCTCGCACCCTGTTTCTTGACAGGGGAAGTCTTCCTGCTCAAACTGGCCCCCTGGCCCCCGGGTTACAACAACAACGGCTCCCGCCTGAGACTTCCTTACAGTTTAGGCAGGACCCTTGCTCCCGCCCGAGACTTCCTCGCACTTTATTCAGGAATCGCGCTCTCGCTTGGGACTTCCTTACAACTTATTCAGGAATCGCTCTCCCGGATTTCTGGAGTCGCGCTCTCGCTGGAGACTTGCTTGCAACTTACTGAAGAATAGCCTTGCGTTGGATTTTCCTGCAATTTGCCCATGCGCCGCGCTCCCGACACCCAGGCACCCATGAGTCGCGCCCGTTGTGGCCCCATGTGCATGCCCTTCGTGGCCCCGCTGTCGCCATTTGTGTCCCCCTCATTGTCCTACGTGGCCCAGTTGCTACCCTCAGTGGCCCCATAGTTGCCTTCTGTGGCCCCGCATTATCTGCACTTCGTGGCCCCCGCTCGTTCGCACTCTTCGTGGCCCCATACGCATTCCCTTCGTGTCCCCGCTGTCGCCCTTCGTGGCCTACTTCGTGCCCTTCGTGGCCCTGCTGTCGTTCTCTCTCGCTCTCGCTTTCGCTCGTCGTCGTCGTCGTCGTCGCCGTCGTCTTCGACGTCGTCGTCGTCGTCGTCGTCGTCGTGGTCGGTCCCCTGTCCGTCCCTCTTGGGGTCGGGTCGACGGTCCGCGGCCGCCCCGCCGATCAGCGCTGCCGCTGGCCAGGCCGACGGTCCGCGGCCGCCCCGCCGCTTGCCGGGGCCCGGCCTGCAGGGAAGAAAGGTATACCCTCCAAAAGGGGTTCGATCGAAGACGATAAGGGCGGGTATCGAGGGTTTGGGAAATACGCGTTAGTGGACACTCGAACATATAAGGGCGAGCAGTCTTAAAATGATTGTTGTTGTTGTTGTTGTTGTTGTTGTTGTTGTTGTTGTTGTTTTGGTTGTGTTAGTCGTTGTCGCTGTCGTCGTTTGCCGTCGTCGCCGTCGTACTTGTTTTTGGTATTTTGTTGTTTTTGTTTGTTTGTTGTTTTTAGATTACAATTGTTGGTTTGTTGTTATTGGTTGATGTTATTGCTGTTGCTGTTGCTGTTGCTGTTGCAGTGGTCGTTGTCGTTGTCGTTGTCGTTGTCGTTGTCGTTGTCGTCGTTGTTGTTGTTGTTGTTGTTGTTGTTGTTGTTGTTGTTGTTGTTGTTATTATTGTTATTGTTGTTGTCGTTGTTGTTGATGCTGTTGTTGTGGGTGAATTCTTATTTCTTAACATTAATTGTGTTTGATCCTCCATTCGGTAACTAGTACATTTTTCAGTTTAAGTGCTTCTCCCAGGGCTCGCGCTCTGTCTTTTTACAAGGGACAACGAGGGGTCACCAGACTGAGTTGTTGAGCCCTGAACTGCAACAGCAACGGTTCCCGCCTGATATTTCCATGCAATTTATTCGAACACCGCGAGCTCGCGCGGGACTTCTTTATTCTTTATGCAGAAATCTCGCTCTCGCGTGGACCTCCTCGCAATTAATGCAGACGCCGCGCCGTCGACATTCAGGAATCACGCTCTCGCTCTGGCCTTTCTCACGATCCACCTGGGAATCGCGCTTTCGTTCGAACTCTCCTCGCGATTCATGCAGTACTCATGATTTAGCAACGCGCCTTCTGCACCTGGCCGCTTGTGCCCGCCTTCCCGACCCGGCGGTTAAGATCTACCCGCCTGATGGCCGCCTGATGGTCCCTTCTGATTCTGCCACGTTTATTCTGCTTCTACCCCCCTCCTGTTAATCCCGTGCTCCATCCTTCTCCCTCCCCCTTCCATCTGTCTTCTGTTCCCTTGTTTCAGGGGCTGCACCAAGTACGTGCGGCGGGTAAAAAAAGTTCTACCCGCAGGGGAGTATGATCGAAGACGAAGAGGGCGGGTAATTGCCGAGGGCTTGTGATATACGTGTAAAAATGCACGCAAACAGGTACGAGAGAACCGTCTCAAAATGATTGGTGTTGAACTGTCATTACCAAAAAAAACATAATTATGGTTGATCCCCCTCCCGTAACATCTGTGTTTGTTCAATTGAATGCCCTTCCCGGGGCTCGCATTTTGTTTTCTGGCAGGAAAAGTCTTCCTGCTTAAATTGCGCCCCCGGCCCCCGGACTACAACAGCAACGGCTGCCGCTTGATACTTTCTCGCAGTTTACAAAGGAATCGCGCTCTCGCTAGTGACTTCTTGCAAGTTATCCAAGAATCGTGCTCTCGCCTGTGATTTCCTCGCAAGTTATTCAGGCGCCACGCCCTCACGATTCAGGAAAAGCGCTCTCGCTTGGGACTTCCTCATACTTTACTTAGGTCTCGCGCTCTCGCCCGAGACTTCCTTGTTATTTATGCATGATCCACGCATTCGCGTAACATATGTTTTTTCTCGGTTGAAGTGCCCCTCCCTGGGCTCGCTGTGTTCTTACAGGGGGAAGTCTTCCTGCCCAAACTGTGCCTTTGGCTTCCGGTTTACAACAAAACGGCTCCCGCGTGATATTTCTCTACAATTTATTGCAGAATCGTGCTCGCGTCAGGGACTTCATTGCAATTTATCGAAGAATCGCGCTCTCGCCTGATACTTCCTCGCAATTTATTTAGGCGTCGCGCTTTCGACACTCGGGAATCGCGCTGTCGCTTGGGGCTTCCCCGCAATTGATTCAGGCGCCGCGCCCTCGACACTCAGGAATCACGCTCTCGCTTTGAAATTCCTCACGAGATTTATTTTGGAATCGCGCTGTCGCTCAAGGCTTCCTCGCGATTCATGGAGCAACCCGCCTGCTCGACCTGGCCGCCTGGGCCCGCCTGTTAGGGTCTACCCGCACGATCTGCCCGTCTGGTCCTGCCACGTGTTTTCTGCTTCAAGCCCCCGTCCTACTACTCTCTCCTGTTCCATCCTTCTCCCTCCCCCTTGTCCCTTCCTTCCATCCGTCCTCCCTTCCCCGCCCTAGGTGCTGCACGAAATACACGTTGCGGGTAAGAAAGATTTACCCCCAAGGGGACACGATCGAAGACGGAGAGGGTGGGTATCGAGGGTTTGGGATTCACGTATTGAATGTCACGCGAGCAGATAAGAGCGTACAATCTCAAAAGTATTGTTGTTGATGTTGTCGTTGTCGTTGCCGTTGTCTTTGTCGATGTTGTTGTTGCTGTTGTTGTTGTTGTTGTTGTTGTTGTTGCTGTTGTTGTTTTTTGTTGTTGTTGTTGAATTCTCACTTCTTTGAATAATAGTCATTGTCGAACCCCCTTGCGGCCACCATTATCATTATTGGAGTAACGTGCTTCCCCTAGGGCTCGCACCCTGTGTTCTTAAAAGGGAAAGTGAGGTGTCACAAAACTGGGCCCCTGGCCCCCGGTTTACAATGACAGCGGTTCCCGCTTGATATTTCGTCGCAATGTATTCCCCATTCGCGCCCTCGCGCAGGACTTCGTTTTATGCAGGACTCGCGATCTCGCGTGGGACTTCGTCGTAATTTATTCAGCCGCCGTGCCCCAGGCACTCAGGAATCACGCTCTTGCAGTGGATTTCCTGACGATTTAATTTGGAATCGCGCTATCGCTCGGGACCTCGTCGCGATTCATGCAAGACGCATGCTTCAGCAATCCGCCTGCCC